GTTCGCGGTCAGAACTTAGAGAACCTATAGAGATGAATGTTTAATGTCTCTCTTTAGTTGGTTGTTTTTCTCAGTCTTTCCAGTTTTTGACAGAATCTGAATGGCAGGCCATTCAGGACTGAATTTCTAGAAAATGCCTGAAGTATTAAAAAAGAAACAAAAGGTGCTGTGGAGTCCGTTCCGACTCATAGCGACCCTGTAGGACGGGGTAGAGCTGCACCGTGGGATTTCCAAAGAGCAGCTGGCGGATTCAAACTGCTGACCTTTCGGTTACTCACCAAACTCTTAACCACTAAGCCGTTCTTTATCAGTCGAGGAAGGATGTGTATCGTTTAGGTACTAGATGCTTTGGCTGCGTGTTGATAATCTGTTTTGAAACTTCTGCAGCATGATTGGTATTTTTGCTGGAGAGGCTGTCAATTCATACCTCAAGGGGCTTGGCTGGGAGGAGTTTGTGGACTGGAATGTGATTTGCTCATACTGTGTGGGTCTTTTCAAAATGCTTGGACATGAGCTTGGTAGCAACCTCAGAGTTCTATGGCAAAGGTAGTTTTGATCTGGAAAAATGTTCAGGGCAGGTACTACCATTTGGTTACCTCAGCCATAACAAAACCTCATTAAAACTCCTGCAGAATGTCTAATATTGAGATGATAACTGAATATATGACCCTTTTGGAAATATATAGATACATATATATTTAAAATATTGTTCGTTTTAATGTTGAAGAACGTTTCCCAGTAACAACAATTAGGATTTTGACATAATGTTATTTTTTTCTGAATATAATTTGCTAATAGATTCAGCTATTTCTTTAATAACTCCTGGTTGAGTATAGTATTAGAACAGAAGAATATACATGTAGATTGCTGTGGTGGAATATATATCAGGTTCCTCCAGAGTTAAATTAAATGATCTAGATGGACGCTAAAGCAGGGAGCAAGTCAAAGCAACGGCCTTGGTTTGTATGATTTAAATTGGGAGTATTGCCTGAGAGCATTCCTTCCCAGATCCTGGAACTCACGTTCCATTCATGTGGCTTGGCTCATAGTAATTTTTTAATCCTAAAAATTAACTGGTGATCACTCAGTAAAAATAGAATGACTGGACCCTCAAAACTCAAGAGTAAAAAAGCAAACAGTCCAATTAGAAAA